TTTCTTCATACATTTGTACAACAGTCTCACTTCAGCAGTATTTACCACTATCACTCCCAGCAGTCAAGGTTGTTTGCATAAGGTGCTATTTGCCAAGAACCTGTTACTTGAAAGGAAGACCTCTTCTGTCTGCACAGCAGATTTGTAGGTGGAGAAAAGGAGCCTTGCTGACTCAACTACAGTTATAACACACTTTTTTCATAGGTGACAAGAAGAAATGACAGCATATAATTTCAACTGATTTCTTGTAGAAGAATTGCTCATAAAGCTCCCGCAAGGGCTGGAAGCTGTAGACTGACCTACCCAGAACTCGTGCTGTCACACATAAGACACACCTAAGTGTTTCTCGCTCTGTTTTAACAGCTGAAGGAGTAAGACACAAATCAATACAACACTTAAAGGCTACCCTCAGGAAGACCAGAGGAATAGGGTTCTGCAAGGAGAAATGCCAAGAACTATACTATAAATAGTATGTCTGGGTATACCTAACCATGTCTTAACTTCACAATGCCTTAAAAGCTACCGAATGTTCTTAAGCAACACAGTCGAACATACAGAGAATACCCAGAGCACAACTGTTAATAATTCATTGCCAAAACAAAGGTATATGGAGAGAGGTTCCACATGACATGTTCTTAGTCTGATCCTGTTCTGTATCTCAGTTGCTCTCCCGGAGACTGGAACAAGAGAGATGCTTCTTTCATTCACAGATGACATGGAGCTGGGAAGGGCCATCAGTATGCCACATGTTGGAAATCAAAATGGCCACAGCCAACAGGCAAAAAGGTTCTGAACAAAATTAGGATGTAATTTGACACAGGACAACTGCACAAAAACAGAGAGGAAGGCTGCTTATTAGACTGCAGTCTACTGGAAAGCGCCTGACGGTCAACACAGATCAACAAATCGAACCTGAATCAGCATGTTCTCAATAAAAAGGTAGACAATGCACAAGGGGTAATCACCTTCTCAGCAATGTTCAGCCTAAGTCAGAACACAGTTTTGTTACAGCAGGCTTCAGGATAAGCCACCACCAAACAGCTATCACTACAAATGGGTTAATTATCATTGTGGCTGGTATTGCTCAGCAGCCAGTAATGAACCATGAACATTTATCCTACTCAAATGTTTGTTTCCTTTGCATTGTTAACATTTAGAGTAATACTGAATGTAAGGTACAATGATAGATAGGCCAGTGATTTACTGGAGGAAAGAGAGAGAGTTCTGTTGCTCACTGAAGCACGGTGGTGTTCACAGGACATAATTCCTAGTTTAAGGAGAAAAAACACTTCCATATCCGAGGAAGAAAAATAAGCATTATGTTAATTATGAAGAATTGCAAAACTGTGCTCTGAATAACGAAGGAATAAAATGAGTTTTAGAGTGAGACTGTAAATTTCTCCTGATATCCTAGAAGTCTTGAAAAGAAAGATCACTTTTAAAAGCTACTACACTCCCCCCAAGAGAAATAGTCACGTGCATTCCAAGGAATCTGAACCTAAGGGTTATTTCAAAAAGGGGGTGCCTGAATATGAATTTTTAGGCAATCCCAGTTAGGCTCTCTCTAGCAGAGGCAGCTTGCCAGGGGAGAATTTCACGAAGTCCAAGACCTCGACTGCTACCATGGAACCACGTAGTTATCTCAGAATAAGTAGATTTATGCTTGTGTAAGTAGACTAAGTACAGCTTTTCTTTCATTTCTTCACCCAGGTTTTACAAATGTGTGATTATGTTATTATATTTAGATATTACAAAGAAATTCTTTTATTTCTAGTTTACCTTAATCTGTCCTAAACTATGGCCCAGTTACCCAGCACAGACTCTGCAGTGTCCAAAGGTAAGAAAGGTGCTCCCCCTCCCATCACACAGTTCAGATTCTGGCACTGCAGGAATCCGACAGGACTCAAGTGTACCCAGTGACTCACAACAACTGAAGAGGCTCTCTGACATGCTATGGGATATTAGAGTGCACGCTTATCCCTTGCAACTGTTGGGGTCTAGGCCACAAGCAGACCTCCTGCTGACTGCTTCCTGCACAGCAGGTATCCTTGCTTACTTACTCACAGGGAGCAGGTCACGGGGCTCTGAAACCTTTGCATTATTTCAAAGGCACGTGTGTGTGCAGGAACAAGCAAGGTAAGTACTATAATTATTATTGGAATGTGGGCCTCTAAAACACTTGGAACTTGCACTATTCAAGAAATCAGACACTTTGTTCAGAATTCTTGAAATAATATCTGAGATCTAAATGCAAACACATTACATTAAATAAGTTGTGCTGGTTTTGATATTTTTGCTTCTGCTGTGTTTACATTCCTGTTCAATACAGAAAGACTTCAGTCGTATTCCACAGATCCAGGCAGTACTTCAAGCCAACTGATAAATGAGTTAGTGGAAACAGACTGAAGTGCTAATGTCCTTTATACTGTTCTTTACTAGAAATATAAAAATGGAAAAACAATACTAAACCAATAGTTACTTTGGGTTCTGAACCTTAAAAAGAACCCTTTGTTCTTTCTCTTCCATTTGTGCATTTGTCCAGGGACTGGACAGGGAAGATGTCAATTACTGTCACAGGAGAATTAAAATCTCACTTGTACCTTCTGCTTACTGCAAAATCCCAAAGATAAATACAAAGTAATCTTCAGAAAGAAGTGATTTGTAGCAAGTCTGTCTGGGGAAATGGAAAGAACTGAATATAGCCTCACAGTAAAATTCTGCTGCTAAGAACTCCATTCAAGAAAAGCATTTGTGAATGCTAGGTAAGTGACTAAGTAGATATGACTTTTATCTCAATAACATGTCAAAGTAACTCAACGTGTGTTAAGGTAATTAAATCTTCTCAGTGATAAAGAACTGAAACTTGAAAAGCAAAACTGTAAGTTATACTTCTGTAAGACTTACAGAGTGGCAAGTGAAGTATCTTGTATTTTAGAGCAGGTAGTGGTTCTCGCAATATCTCCCATTCTAAGAATAAGCAGTTTAAACAATAATACTTTAAGATGTATTTTGGATCACTAAATAACATTCAGATCACAGAGGTTTTCCCATGCCAACTTCTGAAGCTACTACATTAATAAAGGTAATTGTTTCTCTTACATGAATAACATTAATAATGTAGTATGACCTTTTCTCTAAATATTAGAATTTTGCATTCTCTCCTTATGTCAGAGTTTATTTCAGCTATTCAATACCGTATCTGTCTGAAAAATAAAAAGGATACACTTGGCAACATTCAGGATAAACATTATGATGAATTACGTGTTCTTGTAAGGTGTATATTTCTCCAATGAAAATATTTAAATTCATATGCACATGTTTGCTTGTCTATGTGAGACAGCATTTTTGTTGTACTTCTATGAGGTCTTGGGCTATAAATTAGTTGTGTACTGACTGGAGGGAATGTCTTCTAAATTTTAAATACATCTGTATGTCTTCAAATCTGTCATCTAGTTTCCAAGAGTTTAAAGTAAAAACAACACAACCAAATCACTATTTAAGTGTGAGCTATACAAAACCAATGCTTTCTCTTCTATCACTGCAGAAACAAAAAGCAGAAAACTATGCCAAAATCATACTCCCATCACCTGCAAACACTGGAGCCACTGGTTAATCAATATTCTCTTATCTTTGCTCTCCAACAGATAAAGGCTTTAGTATGTTAGGCAGTGTTTGTTTTTCATAAAGTAGACTTCAAAGCTTGCTGAAATCAAATGTTTCCTTTATGAGGGCTCCAGTAGACTTGGACACATCCAAGAAAAATATTTATATGGCAGGGCACTCAACCGCCTTCCTCGCCTCTTCTCTTTCCCCTTCTCTCAGAGCCATGTTTCTTTTTGAAATAATGCCACCACTGGGCTGAAAGCAAGTTAAAGTTAAACACAGAGGGGCTAATTAGGTAATGCAATGAACTTCTGAACTGTATCTAGAAAGGACTTTGCTTTTGAGGATATGCTATATGCTGAGAGTATTCTGTACTGATATTGCATTATTCATAATATTCTGTTGAACTACATGCACAAGTATCTTTTAACAGAGGCACTGTTGGATGCACTGTCTGTGTATACAGAGATGATCATTACGCTAATTTACTGTGACCCACCAGACAACACCTGTAGTTCTGAAGATAACTTGGCTTAAACAGACAAATTCCAGTCCTGTGAACAGCTCTTTCTCTTGCAAAAAATTCTAAGACAAAAAAGCTCAAGACTGAAGCTGGAACAGGCAGGTATAATTTGCTAAACTAGTAACTACCCACCTCTACCCTCTTGGTTTCAGCTGTACCAAAGAGGTCCAAATTCTTTACTGTGGGAGTGCAGAGAGGGTTACTCCCATAAATAACATGGCAGATGAGATCAGATTTTCACACAAAACACAGAAATTGAAGGCGAAGAGGGCGATCTGGCTAAACTTACACATCATTCAGGAGTCAGCCTGTGCTCCTTATCTCCCCTCAATTTTTCCTCCTCCCTGAATTATATCACCTGGAGCTATGGCTGCAGAGCAGCATGTTCTGAGACTGTATGGACAGAACTCACTGACCCTCTGTGGGATTCATGGCACCACCATCCTTCCAGCTTCTGCCAACAGAGTTGGAAAAATGACCAAGCTGTAGAAGTGCAGTGAGTTAACATGGGGAAAAAATGCATAAATGGAAAAGCACATTACTCTCCTGTGTAACGAAGATAACTTCTATTTGTATCATATACCTAAGTTATCTACACGTGACCCTAGAAACAACATAACTCTTTAGTCTACATTTTAATATTATGGTGCAAAAATTTAACAACCAGATTCTCTCTGGCTGTAACAGAAACCAAATACTATTCCTCTGGCATTTTGCTTAAAAAGAAAAAAAAAAGTAAAAATTATATGCAATTTCAAAGAGATACTTCTCTGAAATTAATGGACCATACAAAGAACCTCAAAGAAATACTGCTGCCCTGAAATGCAAAAGAAATCAAAGATCAGAACCCAAGGTCAGAAAAGGCTGTACTTACTCTTTATTCCTGCTTTTAATGCACGGCTGGTAAAGGACTTTGACAGCATTCCAGGTCCCCACTTGTTCAGAGCTAGGCATGAAAATATCTCCAAACAGTGGAGAAACACTTTGGAAGTAGGAACTTCCTAAAGACTCCACCAGCAATGTGTCAGAATTTAAAAGCCATATCTATAAATGAAGAAATAATTTATTTTACTGTAGATTACATCAATTTCAATTTGTTCCTTTACTCTGATCCTAAATCAGCTGATACTAAAGACACATTTTTACAAAGTTTCTAACAAAGTGTTAACAGACATAAATTGACATTTTATTATTCAGCACAGTCTGCACAGCCTCTAGTGGAGAAAAACAGGTTAATACAATAAATTGATGCCTGATTTATCACAGTCACTCTTAAGATCATTATTTCTGTGAAGCTGCCTCTTTTTGTGGCTGCAGCAGCACAAATCACACAAATTTGATAGTAACAAAAGAAACAGTCCCAAGTCATCTGTTTCAGTACCAAATGGATTATTTCTCTAATTTCATAGTTTTATAGGAATTAGTTGAGCATATGGTATTGAACAACTGAGGCCTAAAGACAGGGAACTGCCCACTGGAAGTGCCAAAAATTAAGGATTTTTAGAAAAAGCATGATAGTTATGACTGGATGGAACTAAGACATGCAAGGAAAAAGACAACAATTAATGTGGTCTAAAAGGAAGGCTGGGATTTACAAATGGCTGTAACAGACCCTTACTTGGAAAATAAATCTTTATCAAATTTGATGACGGGACTAGCATTCTTCAGCACTACTTGCTCACAGCAACTCATGTGATATTTACTGGGAAGAGTTTTGAGAAATCTGAACTTTTTGCATCACATTATGGATCTTACTTAATCTTTGTGTGATTGTGCATCAGTGTTCCAACTTGGATTCAGGGCTTTCGAGCTAAGTACTGTACAAAAAAGTCAGGCTTTTCCTTTATTCACAGCCTGCAGTAGTGAAGTGATCCAAGCTACCAATGGAAATCAAGTTTTACAAGTCCTGAGCCTGTACGAAATGCTTATATATGAAATATTTATCCTAGAAAACAGGATTTATGCAGTGCTGCTCACTAGAGAGTAATCTTCTGCTTCTCATGACCTAATCAGCTTCAAGTAAAACAAGTTACATGATGTTAGGTAGCAGACATATGATATCCCCTGTGGAGGGAGAAAGCCACTGTTAACAGGACACATAGTATATGTTGTAATTGAATGTGACAGTCACAATTTATCAGAGCCCAAGGCTCAGAACATTACAGTGCAAGCTTCATAAAGGAGGAATGAGATATATTGATAAAGATGTCTTGGGAGGGGATGGGAGGAGGAGAATCACTTTAGCATATGCACATAAATGATGACAAGCAACGGCACTTGGCTTAGCAAGTGGCTGTTCATCAGTTTTGCTCTGGTAACTCACTGTACACATTCATAGCCTAATACACCTCATTAGCTAGGACCATTACACACGGTGCTTTAAGCCAAGTGTTGAAGTAAATGGGGAAAAAAGTGTCCTATACACACAGGCCACTGCCAACATGCTTAGCTTTAACTAAACAGAGTTCCTTCCTTTTCAAATTATTAACACCTCCCTGTGAAGGAGTCTCCTGGGATGCTTTTCAGAAGGGGAATATCCTTCAAACTAGTCTAGGGAACAATGCAGCAATAGCCATCTGCTCCTTTCAGAATCCTTCTGCAACTTGCTTTAAAGAAAGCAACCAAACCATTTCATTTGCAACATGGTCCATCTGAAAAGTACTTCCTTCTACCACAAGTGTTGATATGTGGCATCTAACAATAACGCTCTACCACTTGTTCAGAGTGTGTCTTTGTCTCAACAGCAATGCAACAGATCTGTATTAATAATTCAGCACAAAATACAGAGAAAGCAAATGAATTTTTGCAGGTGGAAGGACACTTGGCCATGAGAAAATCAACTTCTGAACGACATTTGCTTCTTTAGGCAATAATTTCCTTCTTTTCCTCATGCATGAATTAGTTTTTGATCTTGCTTTTGCTCTGAAGGAACAATCACTCTCCAAGACTCCGTGGTTGACTCAAAGCAGTTTATACATGTTATTTCTGGCTAACATAGTTTCAAATTTTGATCTGTGCTTTCAACTATGTTACAATGTACAATCTTTCCTTCCTCTCTACCCAGAGCCTGCACAACCGAATTCCTTTCATATTAACTCCAGTAAGAAAAGAACCTTTACTGAAAGTTAAATATATAAAGTTTAGAATTCATTCATAGGGCAGATTGATAACCTTTTCTGAAATGACAGCATCATAAGAAAGTGTTTGGGTTTTTTGTTGGTGTTTTGTTTTGTTTTTTAAATCACCTTGTCAACAGGCTCCAAAGATGTTCTTGGGAGTAAAGCTACAACAAATCTCAGTTATACTTTGTGGGACTTGATCCAAACAGGTAAAACACTACGTTTTACATTCTGTGATCAGTTTCCTAAAATCTCAATCTGTGTCTCCAGCATCTATTTATGGACAATTAGGCATCAATTCAAATTTAACATGGCTAAAACATGTTCTTCCTTGCTAGTTCTTTCTTAGTTATTGCAGACTTTACCATTACTTCCGTCATCACACAGCTCCATAATGCAAACATCTTTTATTACAGCTTCTTTGTCCTCACATTCACACTGTTCAGATAAAGATGTGCTTTCCTCATACTTCACAAAGAATAAAGCTCTCTAAGAGAGCTGGGTAGCTAAGTCTCAGTAAGATACTCATCTCACATCCTGATCACTGCAACGTCCCCCTCTCCAACCCTGACAAATGCAAACTTGTTTTGCTCATGCCCTCCAAGACATGGTCCAGGAATCAGTATCTGATTGATAGGTCTCTCCCACTTTGTTACATACTTATTTTCTTGGGATATCTTCCCACTCCCTCTCCACTCACTCCTGAAACACAAGCTGCCTTACTTTCAAAGCACTTTACAGCCTAATCCCACTCCAAAAAGCATCTTTCATTCGGTACTGAAAGACTGGAGTTAGTTTTCAAACACTCCAAACTCTACCACACACCTTTTGATTTTCACAGATGTGTCTTTTTGGGTTTTATCAGGTTGATCCCATCCATGGGATGAATTCCCTGTATCTATCCACAAAACTACTTTTTTACCTCTTTCAAACCTATCCTTTTCTACAGTACAGAAAAAATGACATCTATTAAGATGCTATGCTGACCAATAATATACCATTTTGCTTGTGTACTCCTATCTCACTATCCACTACCTGTCCTCATCTTATTCTTAGCTTGTAAGTCGTGCAACTTCAAGGTAGGGAACCCTTCAACAGTGGAGCAAAGAGAGGAGGCAAGTGATTCATCTTTTAGAGAATGTGAAGAGATATAGTTAGGATAAATAAGGAAATCTGTATACGCCACTTTTTTTTTCCTGAGACAAAGAGACTTTTATTCATTGTCATCCTTTAAAAAAAACCCAACCCATAAGTAGTATATAGCTTTCAGGAACTTGGTTATCACCAACTTAAACAACAGAAACTCGTATTATGATATATGTAAATAACATAACTGGCAATGTTAAGTGATACATGCAGAGGAAATAAGGAAAATGAGTATACAAAATATTTGTCGGTTAAAAAAAAATTTAAAAGACCTGCGAAAGACCTTAACCTTAATTATCAGATACACAGCCTAAACTGTGTGCATTCACATATGTAAGCACAAACACTGTGAATGAGAATCTTTGGCTCACTGTCAAAACAAACATGTGGGACAGCTGGTCCATGATGCATTAGTGATGAGACCACTTGTCTAGCTTGGCTGTGTACTCACAGCCTCAAGCACCTACACTTTTTACTGTTTAGCTGTTTACAATCATTAATATAAACAGTGCTTACATTACACTTCTGTCCACAAGGCTTCTGAGTCCTAAGACTTAACCCATCACTCCAGAACACCTGTTGATTACCTAGAACCTCACCCTGGGACATGAGTAAGGGCTTTCTGATGTTAAACACACACACACACACACACACACACAAAAAGTACTAATAACTCACTAATAAAAATGAAGGGATGTCAATGAGAAGCCAGTCCCTATGCTAATTCAGCCTGCTCCTCTAATCAATACATTGGAAAAAATGCAACTCAGAGGTAAGAGTAATGGCAACCTGCTAAATAAGGTGATTTTTCTGTTTGAAAATAACCAGTTTGTTCTGTATAAGGTACTAGACTTAAGCATCAGAATATTAGGCAACTTGGAAACACATAAGCTACAAGGAAAAAATCAAAACAATTTTTAATGACTCCTCTATTAGATTATACATAGTGACAATTATGGGTCTGCTCATGGACCTTATTTTATTATTATCACAGAAGAAGTATTTCTCAGTGGTCGCATAAATGTTATCTTGGCACTAAAATTTATTTAAAAGCAACAGATATACACTTACCTCAGAATCTGGATGTTCAGAAATTACAGAACTTGGACAATATATATATAAAACAGTTTATTTAATTAGATTGCCTACCTCAACAAAGTGCATCTTTAAGTTTATCCAGGGCAGAAATCTACAATCATCCATTTCTTTATCTTTATGTCTATGAATTACTTGTACAAACTGCAAAATTATAAATTCTATGCCTATATTTAGTTCATGAATAAAAGAAACATCCCAGGTTATACCAAGTATATAGTGTTAAGAAAATTCCAGGCCCAAATTCCTATCCATCTTAAAAGTCTGAGGAATTTAGCTGTCACTATTTAAATATCAAGCTTAACCAAGTTTAACAGCATTAGAACATTAAGTATAATAGGCAATTTTATTTTGGTTTGCACTTCACTTTGCAATGCAATGTACTGACTATATTAGTACTCTCTGCTGACTTAAGACAGTATTTGTGAAAGATGCTATACAACTTGATGAACTTCTGGTGATTAAAGATAAGAAGCAAAGAAGCACTGGAGCAAGAAGATGAGATACATATTATAAAGTCAAAACTTAAGCTTCCCATATTTTCTGAATACAAAACACAGTGTTATTTCTGTGCTACTTGTGGAGCATCTGTAGTACTTTCATTACTATATTAATAGAGAAAATTTCTATATGTACATCTACTTAGATTAAAAAATGGGGGAAGTTTCTTACTTGAACAGGATCCTTCAGAACTACTTCAAGAATTTTATTTTGTTAATTTTCTTTAAACATACAATCATGAACAGCATAACTAATACATTTTAGAAGCTGGGATTCATAGGTTAAACTTTTTCAGCAAGATAAAGATTAAAAAAAAAAAACTTACCAGAATATAGATCTTTCCATTATCCCCTTTTACAGAGAATCTAAATGTGCTTTTAGCAGAGGACAATTCCACAAGACACTGAGCAACCATGCTCTGTACAAATTGAGACCTGTTTAAGAATTAACCACATATTATATGTTTTCATAAGCAAAGTAATTCATATCAATGCAATACAAGTATATGAGTATTTCCATACTGTCAATTCCACTACATCCTACAATCACTTTTTATTGAGAGATGAGGCTTCTTTATCTTTCTTTCCTGCAAAACCAGAGGACTTTCTATTTCCTGCAACAGGATTTTTTTAATAGATCAGCAGTCTAAATTGCTCCACATCCTTTATTTTGACCAACACCAAATGTCAAATGTTGAATAAAAGCTTTGGCCTATTATATTTTACACATATGAACACAAAGTTCAGAATGATGCACATATTGCAAATATAATTCACAAAAGGAAAGAACTGTGACTAACGCATAGTACACGACACATGATAGCTAGATCAAGTTCTGTTTCATTCTAGTCTTAACTTCAAACAGAATTACTTGAAAATTCAAGAACCTCACTTCCAATTAAACATTTCAAGCTTTACTTAATTTAACTTTACATAACGTAACTTTCAATTTCCATAATTAGTCACCAGACATCACGCAAACTTAAAATAGTTCAAAACAGTAAGTATTGTATTTTGGCTTATCACCTGAATAGTGAGACACTACAACAAATTATACACAATCTCTCTCCTGCATCACACACAAACACACACAAAGACAAGCAAACAAAATTGTACGTGAGTGAATTCAGACTACATGGCCTTTACAATGCTTAATTCTGCGATGATTACATAAAATTTGACAGCACTTTGTTACTATATGTAATTACTCAAGAAACTAAAATGTTAGTGCATTTCTAGCATCTTTTCTAAAACATAAAGCTGAGCAAATTATCTGTTTATTTTTATTTTTATTTGTTACCTTGGTGTTGGGCTGAAACTTGCCTCAGATGGTTGAATAATGACCTCGGTGACATAATATTTAATGGTATCTAAAATGAGAAAAACACTTCTCAAGTACAACAGAACAACCAACTTGTTAAGAGTAGACTGTAAGTCACCGTATCACTACACTAATTAAACTTTTGTTCAGCACTCAATTAAGAGGTGCAGCAGATGGTCAAATTCTGCTTTGGTTTGTGGGAGGAGAAGCAACCAATAACAGAAAACATACATTGCCAGAAGAAAACTGCTCTGAACTAATTACATGATCAGCAATTTGTCATTCATATTGATCCTTGTTTAATGCTGGGAACAATCATCTTGAAACAAAGCAAGCAAGAGCTCAAGCCAAACCTGAAAGATGAATTGAAACAACTTTCCTAAAGCACTGAGATCAGCATAGCTTACATAAGTATTTTAGTACCCTCTGCTGCCCAGTAACGCTGCAGTGAATCACAAGAGACAGTTTTAATAACAGCACACACAGGGGAATAATTTTCTTCTTTGCTCAAAGAGCAGATAGAAACTCTTCCCAAAAATCACACTAACTCAACACTAATACTGCATACATTCCGAGTTTCAATGTAACTGTTCCCGAAAAGCTCCACTAAGACAGCCTTTAACACTAAATGGAAATGTTTGAGTACAAAATTTAATCCCCATCAATAAAGTCACGTCAAAGATGATCATATTGAAGCTCTGGGTCTATGCTACAAACACAGCCTAATCAGAGGGCCAGCAGAACAGGTTAAGCATACAGAGTAATAAATTCATTCCACTAAGCCTTAGCATGTCAACAACAGTAAAGATTCATCAGTTCCGTAAATTTTAAGGGTGGAAGGGATTGTCTCATCTGATCTTTGTCTACACACACCATTAAAACTGGATGAAAGCAAGCATTTCAGGAAGACGCTTAATCTGTTTTAAACATTCCAAAGGGTTGGTAACCCACCCCTTCTCCAGGTAAGTACTACACTTTTTTAATTACTCTCACTGTTAGGAAATTATATTTTACCTCTAAGTTTAATTTTAGTCTGCTCCACACTGTGCCTAGTCCCGGGAGACAGGAGGAAAAGAAGGCAGTTCAATCACTCTAGCTCCCCAGCTGTTACCCTGAGTAAGGAACTGGTGCTACTGCTGCAAGAGCAGTGTGAATTAAGGAGATGTTTGCTTGCTGAGAGATAGAAGTTGGGATTTCCCAAGAAAAAATCATACGAGTATATGGAGACGGAGTTGGGGGAAGGAAGAGCCGACAGGGGAATTTCAAAGCCAAATCTGGACTCCACAGCTACACCACTCTAATCCAGCTTTATCTCCAAGGCACTGATATCTGCTCATGAGGAAGCACCACAGCATGACCGTCAAGTCTGCTCTCTAGACTCTTTTCACAGAGATAGTTCTGTCTAGGCTTATACCATACATCTCTGGTTAGTTTTTTTGTCTGTTCTTTGAACTCTACGTAAATTTCCTACAGTCCTGAAGAAACACGGTCAAAACAATGGACATGCTATCTAACTTCAGCCACTTACAGAGTACAGACCAAATCCCTGCACATCTACAGAGTATTTGCCTTTTCCCATACACACTAATGGCATCCCTTACTGGTTGCTACAACTTTGTCTGAAGGCTTAGATTAAGTCATCCATTATTCATGATGATCTGTGAAGCTCTTTTCCAACCACTGCCTTCCCAAAGTCACAACCTGCTTTGCGGGCTTTCAAACATCTCACTTTAAATTTGATTTATTAAAGCCTGTACTGTTCAGATCCCTGCACAGGACAATCGGAACCTTCTGTAACAGAAGACCTTCTGTCTTGTGTCTCCTGATGACTTATTTCTTAAACAGGCCTTGCATTTTATGATAAGTTTTTATATTCTCCAGACCTCTGACCTGAGCCAGGCTCACACTGATGCAGTGGAGTAGAGGAAGAATGAAAGAATGAACCCTGCTAGTAACAGTCTTATCATTGCTTCTCTCCTGTTAATAACTGCGTTTTAAAAACCACCAGAGACTCATCTTTACACTACTTCAGGTAAACCCTGCTGATTCAATACAATAACAGCTTTTAAACCAATAATCTCATCATCGGATAATGATGAGAGACAACCTGTGTCTTTGATAAGGCTTCCCTTCCATGAAACCAGGCTGGCTGTTAGCAATCATATCTTTAGTTTTCTAGTTCTGTGTGTATCAAGTTCTGAGTTAACCTTTCCATTATTCTGTAGGACTAACAGCAAAATAAACAACCTGTAATTTCTCAGGTCTCCTTTTTTACTGGGATTCCTAGTAAACTGGAATCATGCACTGAGTCTTTCAAAGCTTTGGAATTAGCCAAATATGCCAAAGAAACAAGGATGAGGAAAATCCCTGTCATAAGTCACTTTCAAGGTCTAACAGTGGAAGCAACAACCTCATCTGTTGCAGAAGGGAATGAGACAAACACACAGAAATCAGCCCTGCACCTTACTGATAAACTACTTTCCTCCAGAGTTTTTAGCCTCCAGTGCTCAATGGCTGATGCAGTGAAGTCTAGTTTGGTTTGTACATCCCATACCTGGTGATACTCTTTCTCCCAGCATTGTCTTGCAGCGCTTACAAATTACTCTGGTATTTTCCTTTGATTTCTGTAGGACAAAGAAATGGCATTTAAATGTCACTCAGTTATTCTGAAAAAGGAATGCATAATATTAGCATACTCTCCAGAGTAGATAGTGAACTTTGTACTTATTTCTGTTCTCTTTGTGTTTACATACACACAGATTTGCATTCACTACTTCAGCTTTCCACACTACGGACTTGCTTGCAAGTTTCATACAAGTTTTAAAATCTGGTAATACATGCCAACCACACAGCACAACCTGTAATAGCTAACAGGAGAATCTCATTATACTGAATGACTGGATGATAAAATGACAAGGTAAATTTGATTTTGATGAGGTCAAAATAATGCACATAAAAAGAAGTATTCCAAAACATATACATAATATATTATGCTGCAATGTGACTACCATCACTCCGTAAAAAGTTCTGGCCACTGTGGACAGTTTTATAGGAATACGAATTCAATATTCAGCAGAGAGCAGAAAATGTCTGCAGAGTATTTTAAATTACTAGGAAACAGCTGAAGAACACAACACAGCATGATCCTCCAGAAAGGTGCGGTGGATTCTGTTCTTGAACAACCCCTCTCCCTCAATTCAAGCAGAAACAGAAAAGGTATTGACAAAGAATAAGAGTAATTGTCAGAGGTGCAAAAGAGTTTCCCTATGTGGCAAGAAACCACATGTAATGGGAGAAAGCATGAAAGACAGAAAACTGGGGGGTATCACTGAGATATATAAAATCATGAACGTTTAGGAAAAGCTAGAGAGGAAAAAAACATCTACTTTCATAGCTCATGCTATGAAATTATAACCTGGTTTGTATCAAAGAAAAGGAAGGTATTTGTCACACAATGCATAATATAGTTTGGTACTCACTACAGGAAAGTATTTTTCTTATTAAAAGTATGCTTAAGTTCAAAAAGTCTTCAGAAATTCAGGGGTGGCAATGTTCATCAGGGGCTTATTAAAAACAAAAAAATGTAGATAACAACATCTAGTTCAAGAAGTCTCTACACTGTCCAAAACATCACTCAATACTTGCCTTACTCTTATGCATCCATTACTGCCCATTCAAAAAGATCTCATTTCTGGATGAACCTGTGATCTGCCCTAGCAACACTCCTACTAATTCCAGTGTCAGTATTTAAATTCAGTATCAGTATAAAGATAGAAGTAAGCACAGCTCCTACTTTAACCCAAAGTCTAAACTCCAGAACCATTTCTGTGTGGGCTTATTAACCTGGGTGTAGCACAGTACAGCTCTGGTCTGGAAGCAGTATGTATATACAACCACAATGATGCTCCTGAGTTAATAAACCCTTCTGGAGCTAGAAATCCTGAGAATGTAATGAGAAGACACCTAAATTGGATTTTTACATGTGGTCTTTGTATAACCACCTTTATAATTGTTTACATAGTATACAGTGCATAAAAATACCCATGTGTAATTAAACAACTACTGTTTTATTGGCTTGGTTTGTAAGTCCAAACAAGTCACTATCAACTTGAGAAATCATATTGCAGCACATGCCTACAAAAACAGTATCTCAATTTAGCATGAATTAAACTAGCTGAGGGGAAAAAACTCCAAATTTATCTTTTTCTGTGATCTTTGTAAAAGATGGCGACAGTTCCCATGGATTCCAACTGGAGTGAACACACATGCGCTCTTTGGGGACCACAGGTTTTTTTCCATCACCACTATCATACTCCTTAGTATTCAAATTTTAAAATGTAGGATGATGATGTGTTGGTCTATCACATCACAAAATTATTAAAAAAAAGAGCAGCATGAAGTAAATCCAATGGCCCTAGCTATGTCAGGTACACTTTTTGTCTTACAAAGGTAAGCGTTGAGGTATGTCCACTACAAGCTGTCTTTAGAACCTGGACTGTGGACTTCCGGACTACGCAGATTTGCAAGCACAATTATCCTAATCAAAAACTGATTTGTTTTTTGTTTTGTTAATTGATTTATTCTAATAATTTGAAGGACATGGTCTGTGATTAGAGCAGTGATGAAAGAGATTATAGACAAGTCAAACAGACATGCTGGGCAATTTTTTCAGTTACTCTATGGAAAAGTGTAAGTACTTCCTGCTTTAATGATAGGGAAGGGGTAAACAAGGGAGATAGAGGAGTTATACACAGCAGTCTGGATCATTAAGTAGGTTGTGCTTAGTCTAACAATCTGTACTAAAATATAGCCAAATGCTAGATCAGGAACAACAAAGCCAGTGACAACAAAGTAAAGGAATACATAGTGGAAGACAGGAAAAATCAAAAGCATTTAGATGATGGTAGCTAACCAAACCAGAGTTACTAATGAGATGTTACAGAAGAAAGGGCAAATATGATCTCTGAATGCATGGACAACTGCATAGTTGATATGGAAAAATATGACAGAAAAATATAGCATCTTCAGAATTAGTGAGATGATTACTTCGAAAATGGATCTATAAAGTACGTTAAAAATTTGGGAAATGGTTTGGAAAACTGCTACAAAAATAATTTCTAGAAAAATAAATACACCTTAGAGATAATGAGAGATAAGGAGTTGCTTAATTTAATAAGGTGACAGCAAAGAATCAGGATGATTAACCGCTGAAAAAACTTACCAAGGAATGTGATAAAGCTTCCATCATTTGAAGTATTAAATCAATACTGGATGTCTTTCTCAAAGCTATAGCTCAGACAGAACTGATGGATTTCATACTGGAAATACCTAGCAGAGTTCTCTGATCTGTACTATGCAAATAAGAAAATGAACAGAAAGGACCACTCTAGCTCCACAAGAAACAGAAAGCATCCCACATGGAATCTGAACTTATGATCACAAAGTCCTGCTTGTTCCTCACAAACCGGGAATCAAACCAAAAGCCCTAGGGAGAGCCTGACAGCCTCTGTTAAAGCTTCAGAGAGCCGACTACTTTGGAAGTTCACCCCCTTTGTTATGGAGATCAGAAAAAACATCTGGTTCATATATATGCAGTTATCCCCTTTCCCAATTCCTGCGTTGCTACTCCTCTCAAACATACACACAGTAAAATTACTTGCTTAACGTGAAGAGCAAGGATAAGTAGACAGGGTTTTGTGAAAACCTGCATTTGAGGTGGTACAAATATTGCACAGTAGAAGTATATAAGATACAGTACTTCCTTGAAAGCTACAAATTGAATTTTTTTTTCTGACTACAGTTACAGGTGCTAGCTGAGAACTGTGCAGTACGGTACCTAAAAAACACTGCTAACTCGTTGTATCATGCTTCAGTGGAAAAAGCGATAGTTTTAGCTAGACTAATTAAATCAATATATCTATTTGACAACTTGCAGCTGCTGGCAATCTGCAGATGGAGGTGGATCACCAGCCTAATATTTTCTGTTTCTATTCCTAAGGATCCCTGATACAGTGTCAGGGAAAATATTTTCCCCAGGAGATACTATTAGGATGCTGCAAGACCATGTGACATTTAAAAACTATGTTGCACTGGAAGACTAATAGATGTGAGAAATATGTTTGCAATGGAAGGATGCTGTCTTGGTCCCACTGGAGGCTGGAAAAGATTGTTTAAGCATCTCTGGTACATTCC